TAGTTGCACTGTATGTCAAAATTACATACCGCATGTGAATGTGATATTTAATAATTAAAATAAATTGATATTAATTAAAATGGATGAAACTTAATTAACATTCCATTGTTTTCCTTTTAGTCATTGCCCACTTTTTTTAAAAGATATTTGCTTCAGTATCTGTCATTTTGGATATATTTGCACAGCATTCCCTTTGCAGCATGGGTATTATCTGTGTTATTTTGATAATGATGGTTTATTATCAGTTTTGTTAGCTTTGGTTGTAGGTTCTTCCAAGCTGCCAGAGTGGTGATGTAGTTAACTGGTCTGTGTATGCTGCATTAAGATGGAAAAATATGCAAAATAACTTGTTGAGGAGTTGGTTATGAATTGATGATTGAGTGTATTGATGTAACTCTTGTGGATTGGTGAGATCAACAGAAACTATGCTTTATTAATAATTATAAACCAATTATAATCTTGTGTGATACTATGTACATTAGTTACAAAAAGCATTTATAATAGAGATATGTTGATTCTGCTTCTGAAGAAATGCAGTAGTACAGTAGATTTAATTGAAAGGCTCATGAACAACTTGCAAACCGCTTTGCATTGTAAACATCATGTAACAAAGAAACTGAGTAAACACTCATGAGATTAAAAAAGAAAGCTGTTTGGGTATGAGGCACTTCATTTTTCAGTATATCTCAGTGAAGTGAAAGCAGAGCAGTGAACTGCTATCATAAAGCAGTAAGTTTAAATTTTAAGTATAATTCATGTATTGACATTTTAGACATTGTATTAATATACTCAGAAACATATAGATGTTAGCGGCCTCCGTAGTCTAGAGGTAACGTTCCCGCCTCATGACTCGTGGTACGCGGGTTCAAATACCCGGCGGAGGTCATCGAATTTTTAAGGACGGAAAAATTCAGGGAACAAGTCCTCCGGGAGGGACTTTAAGCTTTGTGTCCTGTGTCGTAACTTTACGGCATGTAAAAGAACCTCATATCCCCAAAGGGGTTCACTGAGCCAAATTCCAGGACGTTTCCCACCCAACAACAGTCTCTAAGCCCTCTGAGAGATGGGGGGAAGCATTATAGACACCGCTAAGCAAGTGGCCGAACTCGCTTGCTCAGCGGGACTGAGGGTACGCACCATTTATCGGTATGGTAAAGAGACTGGTAGAATATCATAGAGGGAAGCACAATAGATCAAACTGGTCACGGTGCATGGGGAAACCCACCCTCTCTAAATAACTAACTAACTAACATATAGATGTTAGTGTGTTTAATGAAATTACACCATTATTAGTGGCATGTGGTAGTGTAGTTGGTTGAAGCACTACATCACAAGCCTGAATGTCATGGGTTCAAGTCTCAATGAGATGGATTTTTTTTTCAGTTTACCTAATCCTTCCAGCCGCATTATGGCCCTGGGGTCAACTCAGCCTCTAACAGAAATGAGTACCAGGAATCTTCCTCAGGGGTAAAGGTCAGCTGGTGAATACAGCTGACACTCTTACCACCACTAGTGAGCCAATTATCTAGAGAATATTTGGGAGCCTTGATGCCTCACAACCCTATGGGCCTTGATGGCCTGTTGCAGGGATAGCTTAAACTTTTACCTTACACCATTAGTATTATTAATGGTAATCAACATGATTAATGTAGCATATGATTTATACTAGTACAGTAGTAATAACTTTCAGTAAGTGTACTTAAATTCAGCACAGTTAGATTTTTTGCATATTTTCGCTGCATCATTTAAATGCAAACTAAATGTAGATATTACTTGGTCACTGTACAAGTAATCTCTGGATGGTGACAGTTTTCTTGCAAATGAACGTTTCTTTGATTTTGCATAAAATGTACCATACATGCATCCCTCATTAAATTTTATTAATAGGAACTCTTCTTGGTGTATATCAGAATACTGACTGCCGCTGTGTGACCAGAAGCGATTCTCCCCCATGGCCCTGAGATATGTGTTCCATTTTATCTTCAGCATTTAAAGTACTGGGCAGTGCATGTATGGATTTGCAAGTTGCATGGATTCTCAGAAATTTGTGAAGGTGGATTAATGCTGCGACTTCTGCTCAGATTAATTTCACCACACGTATGAGTGTGGCGACCCACACACAGATGAGTTTGTCTCATTGGTACCCAAGCTGAGTTGGACTCGCAAGCCAGACTCATACGTGTATGGGCCCCCTTAAAGAAGAGAATGGTGAATGGATACATTTGGTTCAGGATATGTGCCAGTGGTTGGCTTTGTACATGGTAATGAACTTTAGGGTTCCACAACATGTTGGTAATTTCTTCAGTAGCTGAGTGACTGGTAACTTCTGTAGAAGGGCCCAGCTGAGAAGAAAGCAGTCTTCTGGGATTTGGCACTGTGTATATGTGGTGTTAACCGACGTTTCGGAGGAACGTATCGCCTCCATCTTCAGGGTAGAAGAAAAAATATAAGAAATCCGCAAGCGAAGAGACCATGAGAACCGGTAAAAGCAGTCAGCCCAGCTGTCTGAACTTAGTATTTTGTTTTACAGCTTTTGGAATGATTGCCTTGAACTGATCTTCAATGACTGTAAGGTTCTGAACACCCCCGCCAGTGGACTGTGGTTTAATCAGCCTTTACCCTGTGTTGCTAAGACAATAAACTCTATTTTACGGTATGTTTACAGCTCTCGGTCTCTACACTAGAGAGGAGCTTGAAATTGCTGGATGATTACTGGATGATGAATCATTATTTGGAAGAAAGTTGACTTTGTTTAATGTAATATGTTGGCATCTTTCTGGTGGGACTGGGGAAACCCATGAAAATACTAAGGAGAGGGCAGGTAGCAGATATTTGAAATTTAATCCATTCATGAAGTAGGAATTTACTAATACCTTTTTACTCCTATATTGGGGGGGGGGGGTATGAAGCATGAATAAAATTATGCAAGCCATAACCATGTACCTAAATATCAGTTCTTATTAATCCAGGTCTGTTTCATAACTTGAGAAGTTACCATGTGTGTTTCTGGTCAGGAACTTGGTTATACCTGCTTTATGCCTTTAGGTAGTATGTTGTGTTATATATATGCAAAGGCAGTGACTCGTATATCATGTCTCACTGGTAAGCTGGTGTGTAAATGCCCCAGTCTCTCCAGGCTGAAAGCAGACCTTCATCCAAGAAATGTTTTCTTTTACAATTATGTGCCTTAGATTATTAATTAGTCTTCAGTGTTGGTGTTACTGATGGGGAGGAGTGTTAACCTCTGGAAGAATGAGTAGCCAAACACACAACAATATCTTTGAAATGGACATGTGGGAATTGTCTGAAGGAGAATGAATTTTGCTAAGTTACGAATTTATTTTATTACAGAAGTCAAGCACAATAGGTCACTGTAAGTCGCAGTGCAAGGGCCAAGAAGGCCCACCCCTTATACATTCATTCATTCATTCATTCATTCATTCATTATTAGAGAAGTGCTTTTCTTCTTTATATTCGTAATTTTGAGAACTGGAAGTATTACACCGAAATATATGTACAAGTTGTTAATAGTGTAAGTAAATAAATATTCCAGTATACAGTACCTAATGTGGCACAATTCGGATATTTTTTTTTAATTCAATTCTTTATTATTTATGTGCCGAGTCAACAGCCGCAAGGCCAATTACAGACAGAGCACAGTGCAGATGAAAGTAATTACATTATAGACAAACTTATTAAATGTCAAATACAAATTACAGGTAAGTACTTGGAAGAAACAATATTGAAGGAAAGTAAACAAACAAACAAATGATAATTATAACAGTAATAATAATTTCATTATCATTAAACTAAGTGTTATTAAGAATTGAGTAATGAAACATAAATATTTAATTAAGAAATGAATAGTATAGATTTTCAGAGGATAATAATAATAATTCATTTTGTTTTATTGGACATGCAAATAATAAAAATACTAACAGTTATACTATATTTAAAATTTTTTGGGGTAGAACATTCCTGGCTCCAAATACATCAACCTCCCTGCAAACAACATTAGCAGCTGCTGCGCATCTAGCAGAGGGACAGTTTTCAAATAAGGAGCAAACATTGAACAATGCAAAATTTCTGATATACCGAGCAGGAACTCGGAGACCAACAATTTCCAGGAGAGAAGGGCAGAATTTTGAGCCAAAATAAACTTGAATAAGAAAGAGAGCATCAAGGCGATGTCTCCTAGTATATAAAGTATGCAATTTTAACTCCTCAAGAGCAAGAGAATAACAGATCAAAACCTGATTCAGGAGGAAATTAAGAGGAGATTGAACTCTGGTAATACTTGCTACCGTTCAGTCCACAAGCTTTTGTCTTCTCGTCTGGTGTCCAAAAACATAAATATTAGAATATACAAAACTAATTTTACCTGTGGTTCTGTATTGGTGTGAAACTTGGTCTCTGACATTAAGGGAGGAACATAGACTGAGGGTGTTGAGGAGAATATTTGGACTGAAGAGAGATGAAGTGACAGGAGGTTGGAGAAAACTGCATAATGAAGAGCTTCATAACTTGTACTCTTCTCCAAGTATAATTAGCATGATCAAGTCAAGGAGAGTGAGGTGGGCTGGGCATGTGGCACGAATGGGGAAGACGAATGCGTATGGGATATTGGTGGGAAAGCCAGAAGGAAAGAGACCACTGGGAAGACCAAGGTGTAGGTGGGTGGACAATATTAAAATGGATCCTAGAGAGATAGAATTGGATAGATCTGGCTCACGATAGGGACCAGTGGAGGGCTCTTGTGAACACGGTAATGAACTTTCGGATTCCATAAAATGCTGAGAAATTCTTGAGTAGCTGCAGAATTGGCGTCTCCTCCACAAGGGCTCAGCTCTATGACTTCCTTTAGGTTCCATGAGTAAGGAAGTATGAATACAATACCTGTTACCTACATACGGCAGGAAAGCCGGATATGACGTTTATAGGCGGCTATGTGTCCAACCAATAGCATGTAGAAGCTGTGATATGTGACCGGAAGTTCCGGAACATGGATCAAATAGAACATACATTACGGATTCCAAGTTGATGTCATTGTTGTGGTGTAACTTGCGATGAATTATCAAATGCTGCAAGTTCCGTATAGGTATTTCGAGGAATACGTGCTTAATTATAATGCTTGTTACAGGTGGAGCCAATTAGGTTGAAGTGGATACACAATAGAGGTTACGGAAGAGCAGTAGGCTTATGTGTTTGAACAGTCTTCCACTTTAGAGGGGGCGTGGTCTTTGTAAATCACGTAATCTTTTTACGCTTGAGTTATTCTTTGTTTCGTGCCGAAATGTTTTATAAGCTCAGTAATGTCCTACAGCACTGGTTAAACTGCTCCAACCAACCACTACACAATGAAATAGCACATGTTACTCTATAGGACCTATAGGATATGTTGTACTTTTAAGTAGATCAGCTGAGGTTATGTTGATAGCCAACCACAGCGAAACATCACCCATGTACAGTCTGTTAAATGAATACGTAGTTTTGTGTGTGTGTGTGTTGTCCTGACAACTTGAGAAATTCTGTCTCAGGTTTGATTTTATATTTTATTGAACCAAGGACGAATGATATGTAGTCATCTTAAATTTGTATATGTGACATGTTTTATATCCAGCCCTATGGGGAGATGATTGGATCCATGAAATGATAAATAAATGTAAATTAAAATGTAAATGAGGTGTGACTATGTGGTCTTTACTCAGAAAGTCCAAAATTAAATAGGTAGGATGTACAGTGTCAATTACCTTAGGAAAACAGGGTTGGGTATGATCCAGGATCCATGAACCTGTTTGGCTATGCGGTGTTCATTGGGATAATCATACATACATTTCCTACCATCTGAAAATTTTTGTTATATTTCCTATGCTCTGTGATGGAATTAAGTAATTAAATTTCAATTATGATCAGTAGAATGCATAGTATATTGCTATATTTCTTACAGGAATGAAAACCTCTTTTACATTTCATTCTTTCTAGATTTTGACATTTAGGTTATACAGGATGTTTCACAACTTTAGGGCATAACTGCAGGAGGTGATTTCGTAGGTCTTTGTGATCAAAAAAGTTCACATAAACATGTGTCCGATTTTGGACGGTTACAGAGTTATGACCGTTTTTTCATTCCCGTACATGCCCTCATGTGAATGGCATCTGGCGGGTCGCAATTTTTAGCCAGCTACAGACAGAGCGCTCTTGTTATCTCGACACTTGAGAGGTACCTAAGGCGTGGTGGGTTGGTATGCCTGGCGTGGTTCACAACCGAGCGGTAGCATGTGTTGCGGCCAGCGGTGGAATTTTCGAAAATCAGCTTTAAGCACCAATAAATTCAAATTAAAGGTAATTTCACGAAGTTAACTTTACATTCATACTTTAAATGTATCATGTATTATGCCGGTTTATTATTTTGTTCCGTTTATTGTCAGTAATTGTTACCTTCTATTCTGAGTTTAAAACAGTCATAACTCTGTAACCGTCCAAAATCGAACACATTTTTATATGAACTTTTTTGATCACAAAGACCTACGAAATCACCTCCTGCAGTTATGCCCTAAAGTCGTGAAACACCCTGTATACCTGAGTTCTTTGGTTAACATTTTTCTTGGTACCCCTCTAACCATGTGTGCAAGTGACTCAATTATAGTCGATATAGGTATGATGTTTTTTAATTTGTGCTACTAATGTGGTTAGGGTGAAATTATGATTGCATGGTTTGTGGGGAAAATATGTTAGGAAGAAAAGGAAACTATGAAAAATGTATGATAAAAGTTAAACCACAATATTATGCTGTCTCAGCTCCTATTCTTACACTAATGCAACAATCAGAAATTTATGTGGTGGCATCTTTAAAATAAATACTACCAAAAATGTTGTCTGTGGTTTGACCTAACTTAACCTTACTTAACAATACATAATACATGATGTACAGATGAAAGGTATCCAAAATAAAAAAAATCTGTGTCTTGGAAACCAATTGTCATGCACATATCCAGTTTAGGTCATCAGAAAAGAAGTGTCTGAAACTTGTTTTTATGCCCGGCTTACATGCATTTACCAGCTGGTGACCTTCGGTGAGCTCAGTAACGGGGTCAGTGCATGTTGTGGTTAGCAGAGTTGCAATCTCTTACAGCTTCTCCACTGTCATTTTAGAACACCATATGGACATCAACCTACTACACAGAAAAGCATTCAGTTCGGGGACAACAAACTGAGGACTACAGGTAGACTGTTGCATATAAACTAGGAAAGACATCGACCTCTGAAGAAAATGTCATTCATATTAGCGAGACATTCCAGTGAAGTCTGCGCAAATCGATTCATGCTGCCAGCGTGCAATTACAAATTCCATGTTCAACAGTGCACGATCTGCTACACAAAAGGCTTTGGCTATGAGCATAGAAGATTGAAAGGATTTATGCACTAAAACCAAGTGACCAAGTAGCATGCACAAACTTCGCTGTGGACATGCTAGAAAGAATAGATGCATCACCCAATTTCCTCTGCCAAATGCACTTCTCGGATGAGGCAACATCCCATGTTAATGGAATTATGTACAGGTACAACTGCAGGATTTAGGGCAGTCAACATCCATGTCACATGTGAGTTGGAGAGAGGAAGCCCCAGAGTGAATGTGTGGGCTGGCTTAATGCACAGCAAGTTGGACCATTTTTCTTTTCAGAAAAGACTGTGATCGACATTCATACTAACACATGCTGAAGCTGTATGTGCTGTCCAAATTACCACCTCAAACTATTGTCTAACAAGACGGGGCACCACTGCATTTCTGCCACCATGTTAGGAATCACCTGGACAGAGAGATGACTGGGAGATGGATTGGTAGAGGTGGACCAATTGCTTGGCCTTCTACATCTCCAGATTTAACACCATTGGATTTTTTCTTGTGGAGTTATGTGAAGAACCTTGTCTACCAAGCTAAGATCAATGACCTTCAATGCCTGAAAGCCTGCATAAGGGACTCTGTGGCTACGGTAACACCAACCATGCTTTACGCAACGTGTAACAAGGTCAAATATCGTCTGAATATTTGTCGTGCCACCAAAGGAGTCCACATTTAAGTTTATTGAAAAAACTGTATGCTCAGAAAAGAATTTTGTAGTTTCCTTTTGTAGTGGTATAACCCATAAATATATATAATGAGTGCTTTCTGAGATATAATTATTTTAGTTTGGGTACTTTCCATCCGGACACCCTGTAGAGTTGAACTACATCATCAGTCTGGTCTGCAAGTTCAGTATTGGCCCAGGATTGAAGCATTCACCTCATGAAGAGTTCTGTTTTCTGGGATATAATGCGGTGTAGTCCACTGAAAGCCAATCAACATTTTGGGAGGAACATGTTCCCCTCTATCTTCAGGGTTGAAGAATAAGTCAAACAAGAGACCAGAATGAAAGCAGGTGGCAAGCAGAGCAATGAGTGTTATATCCCATGAGACGGAACTCTTCATAACCTCCACTGTTAGAACCTCAGGTCCTACATCTACATCATATATGTAAGTCAACCATGTTTAACTCTCCTGATCATGACTTTTTGTTTTCTTTCTTTTTCTAGTCTCTCAGGCATATGCTATGATAAGTCGTGTCCTTTCAACAATGCAATGAAATAATACCAACAACCATAGCAATGATGTATGTTGTCCAGCTTTACAGAATAATAAAGGTTTCCTTATAAATGCAGGGCATTACAACTTCCTTAGCAGCTGAGTTCTTTATATGTACAAGATGGACAGAAAAGGAAGTGCTGAATTATTGAACTCTGAGACAAATCACTCAAAACATGCAAGTTGCGATTCCCTGGCTTCAGACTCCAAGTCCAGCTCGCTTAATTCCAAGTTGGGCCAAGAGTCAGTAAGTATTTGGATATCAAACTGTATGTAGTATGTAGATTCTAGGGGTTTCTGGTGTATATGACTCAGGATTACTGGACTTTCAGACTTTGTCCAGTGTCCAGTAGACACTGTATGTTTTCACAAATTCTCCATTTCTTTTCATTGGTGTTCTTGGACTTGGTTTGTTGGCTAGGTTTGTAGCATAAATTTCTACCTCCCCTTCTATCCTAGTTCCACGAATGTGCGTGCTTTATCATAATTTTTATTACATTGTAACGTGTTTCGTTACTGAAGACGCCGTAGAGATTGTTAATTGGTTTATTCATCAACCTACAAGTAATGGCTACAATGAATTATAACAGTGTTGTGGGGTTTCACAATTTATAACCCTATTCGCAAATCAAATCACTCTATTGTCAGTAGTCTACACGTTTTCACAGTACGGGAGCTATACAAGTGTCACTGTGTTACAGACTCCCAATTAATTATCAGTTATCACAAACTGTCACTGATTATCACACACTAACTCGTAACTCGCCGCTGGCTAGATTCCAACTCAACTCGTAGGCTGCTGCCTTGAGAACTGTTGATCAAACACTCTCCTGCTGCTGACTCACTTCCAACTGTCTTCGGCGGCTGATACACTTTTAACTAACAACAACAACTGAACCCGGAAACGGCCACATTTCAACTCGCTTCGTAGGCAGTGTGGTTCACTTATATAGTCGCAGCGTTTGCCTGTTACGTAGCAACGCTGTTGGAAGTTGTTTTCAGGTAGGTAGCAATTGCGGCGTTGTGCGTTACGTCACTGCGGAAGGGGGGGATGGAGCGCTGACTCATCTGCCACATCACTGTGGCCAGAGTTGCCACGTCACTGCTGGGTAGGGACGGGTTGTCGTCCATTGTGCAACATGTCACAATATTTTCCTGTTATCACCCTCTGACATTGCCTGGTCTCAGGTTTTTAAATAGCTGTAATGAATCCAGTGTTTGAAGTTAGCTCTTTCTGAGGGACCCAACAGAATAGATGTGTTTCCTCCCATCACCTGAGGATGGAAACAGATGCAGTTTCTGGAACCTTGTGTTCTCTGTTTTTTAGAATACTGGACAGTGGACAAAGTGGTAAACAAAAAACAGTAATTCTGAGTATATGTAGTATGTTTTGGTAGACAACAGCTGTCAGCATATTTTGTGTTCAGGATTTTGTGAAGGAGATGTTCTGCATGAGGTCAGAGGATGGTAAATGGCTCTGGTGGGGTGCATTGATGCCTCCTGTTAAGTAGGGCTCTGCTGGAAAATCCTAGCTCCCCCACGACATGGCGAATCATGGGCAGAACATTCTGGGGTGAGAGCACAGATGTGGCAGATGGAGCGGGGTGAAAGACGAGTGCCTGGTGCCTCCAAACAGAACTGTCTGGCTAAGGGAAGGAAAAACTGAGGGCAGGGATGGCTCTTTATTCATTATCAAGCCAACCCCCTCCAAAGGGAGTACACCCTGACAGAAAAACGTTGGTCCTCTGAAAATTACTTGTTCAGAAACCGGGCAGATCCTGCTGGATAGACGAGAATGGGCAGGAATAGCGATGGAAGCAAAGGTAAAGCTTCAAAGGACTATCTAAAACTGTTTATATGTACTACACACTCCATCAGCAGTGTAACTAAGTGTTCCTTCTTTCACTTTCACTTTCACTTTCGACACAACATGCTGTGGCCCTAAATGGCAACTTCAGGTGCCTTACTATGCTAAAACTGCTTCACTGCACTAATATTATCCATTCATTACATATGCAGCTGCACTCTTCCTGATGCATATGTATTGAATGGAGAACATTAAAGGAACAGTTTGTTGCACTGATGACATACTGTGTAGTACACAAACAGTTTTAGATATAGTAATGCAACAGGATGCTTATATACAGGATTAAAAGGACCATATAGCTGATGCATAAGAAGATATGGATGTCTTGTAACATTGTATTACTGAGAGTAGTTTATTATGAGTTAAAGCAGCATGAAGCATTGTTTGACAGAGAATGCACAAAATTATTGTATCAAAGGAGGTGAACTAAATTTCAGGAGCTGCAGAATTGAAACCAAGGGAATGCGAAGACAAAACAACTCTGCCCGCGTGACTATTTAAGTTTTTCTACTTGAAAACTTAGCACCCTTACATGTTTTGATCCTTACAGATCATCTTCAGAGGGAACATCGATACTTATTTGGAAACTACTATCACAATAGGTGTTCTGAGTGCTAAATTACATACACACACAATGCCTGGAATACACAGATGTGATTGTGAGAAAAAATTGGATTTTGTGTATATTGTGTATATTTTCCACTCTTAACCAGCCAGCAATGTCTTTTTTGTGCCATGAGCTCTCAGGTTGATCCGACACTAGGAACTGCCTAAGAGAGCAGCATTACTTGGTTATGACTTAGCAAAATAATTTCAAACCACTCAGAAGGTTACCATTTATTTTCTGTGGGTAATTAAATATACTTTACTTTTCTAAGAGTTCACTGAAATTCCTGTTGTAAAATGCACCTTCATGCAGAATAGTTGCCCTTCTGTCTTTCCCAGTAGATGGACAACCGAGGAAAGTATGTTCTGTTTTCACTGCTTTTGTGTCTACCATGGCTAATTGTCTAGTTTTTAATGCATGCTTTAGCAGTAAAAAGGCAAAGCTATCCCTGTAATGAGCTGTGAAGGCCCATAGGGTTATGAGATGTTGAGGCTGCCACATTTTCTAGACAATCTGCTCACAGATGGCAGTAGGGTTGTCAGCCTGACACGCCTGCCGTCCTTCACCCCCAGGAAAATTCCTGGTATGCATTTCTGTTAGAGGCCGAGTCAATCCCAGGGCCATAGTGTTGCTGGGAGAATTAGGACAGTTGAAAATATCCAATAACCTCATCAGAAATCAAACCTGTCACCTTCCTGCTTGTAGCATAGTGTCTCAACCATGCGTGTCTTAACTGTAACATTGCAAGTGGTAGTAAGTTGTGATGCCAACAGCTGTTGCTTATAATAAAAAAAGTCTCTCCTTTACAGGTAAGTTCAGGCAAGGGCTCTCCCTCTAAAAGCTACTCATCATCCAGCTCAACCTCAACAGAGAATGTGGTCTCCACCCTGGAGAGCAAAATTAAGGGCAAAGTAAGTAGTGGTAACAGAATTAACATTACTTTTAGATTAACTCACCCAGGTAGGAGGAAAACACACAGAGCTTCACAAATTTAATAATGTTACTCCTGTATTTCTTAGTGGCAAATATTTATGTATCATTGAAATTGCCGATATAAAGAAATATGTATAAATTTTTATAATAATTTTTTAGAATATTATGTTCCCATGAAGTGCGAACTTTTATGAAACTTTTACTCAGGCTTCTTAATAAGATGACCTAGTTGCAGGAGAGTGATGGTGAAATGCAGTCATACACAGTGTGTCCAGGTTCTGTTAGGACTGTGTTCATTAAATATATAAGACGTGAATTATTTTCAAAATTTCACTCTTTTTTTATTCAAAATAGTCTCCTTCTGAATGAATACATAGCTGGAATCGATTGAAAAGTTTCCAAAAACAGTCACTGTACTCCTTTTGTGGAATTGCATTTTAAACTGCTGTAGATTCTCTTTGGATGTCCTGGATGGTGTCATGACGGTCTCCTTTCATCACCAGCTTAACTTTTGGGAACAACCAGAAATCTGCTGGAGCCAAATCTGGCGAATGCGGAGGATGATCAAGGACTGTGATCCCTTTTCTGGCCAAAAAATCGCACATGACCTTTGATTTGTGGGGTGGGCCATTGTCATGGAGGAGCAACCAGGAACCTTGCTCTGGATATTAAGGTCTAATTCAAAGAATTCTCACCCACAAACGATTGACGACTCCAAGATAATAATCAGAATTCACTGTTTGACCTTCTGGCAGAAATTCCTTGTGAATGATTCCTTTGGAATTGAAGAAAACGGTTAGCAGTGTCTTTACTCGACTCTTTTGCATGCACACTTTCTTTGGTTTTGGCTTCTTTGGGCTCAACCACGCTGCACTCTGCCACTTTGTTAGAGGCTCATATTGAAAACACCATGTCCCTTCACCAGTAACAATCAGTTTTGTAAATTTTGTATCACTTTGGGCCGACCGTAACATGTCTTTGCGATGTTCCACTCTGGCATGTTTTTCATCTCCTGACAGCGCATGCGGTACAAACCGTGCACAGACCTACTGTTTGCCCAAATTCTTTGTCAAAATTTGATGCACAGTAATTTTTGGTATTCCAAAAGCTCCTCGAGTCTTGCAGAAACACATCTGTCTGATGCAAGGATTTTGGTCACTTTTTCACACTTTCTTCAGTGTGACTTGTTCTCGGCTTTGATGCACGTGGAGCATCTTCAGTGTCCTCCCTGCAGTCACAAAATACAGCATACCATCGAACAATGTTCGAGCGACTCAAACAATCACTACCATACACACTTTTCATCATTTCGTATGCTTCTCCAGCTGTTTTGCCTAACTTCAAACAAAATTTGATATTGGCTCTGTTCAACCGCCATTTTCCAACGAGCCTCAGAACAGTACTGTTACATTTAAGGTCAGAACATGATGCAGTGATGCTTGCGTTTTGAAATTATAGACAGCTACAAATGAAACTTCAAGAATCTTAAAGCCACAACTCGCCAACAGATGGCATTGCAGGACAAAATAAAAAAATAGTCCTAACGGATCCTGGACACCGTGTATGAGTTTAACCAAATGCTTCATTTATCCCGATAATTTTTATACTTGTTATATTAACCCTCAATATGACAATTTTGTTTGTGTGTGCTCATGACTGTGGGAAGGCCCAGTTCTGCATCAGTCATAATATACTATGTACTTCATACATTTCTTTCTAGTTACTGTCTTCAGATAGCACTAGGTTGCTTTAGAATGTTCCATTTACCTATTTAGGAAATTTTGAAACATATGGCTTTAGATATGTAGTTTTGTTTACATCCATCCCTGTGCAGTGACTCCATTTCTGTTTGAAGTAACTAATTAATTTCATGGAGTTACCACCCTGAAAATGGAGGGAACAGGTTCCCCTGAAAAGTTTGTACCTATTTATCACATTGCATGAGGTCACACCCCAGAAGTCAGTAATCGTTAGATCTACTGTGGGAACCTCAGAGCTCGCACAGTCATTTTGAATTCTTTATAAGAGACATCCAAAACCATTGCACCTCTTAATGCCTAAATAAGTAGCATGTCCATCAGATGTAGCTATTTTAATGGGAGTAAGTAAATGTTTTGTCCAGTATTAGCAATTATCAGAAGCCATATCCAATACTATAAAGGAATTACTTTACATATGTTGTTTGAATGTTAAGTTGTTGCTATAGTGTCATAAAGGGACTTAACAGTAGCCATGTAAATTAAAACTAAATTATTAATATGGTTAAAATAAGTTGTGTATAAGAAGAGTAGGAGTATGATACTGTAGTGACAAGTTATGCTTAGTCAACCTATATGAACTAATTTCCAAGATAGAGCTATTTCACTGTACAGTTTCAAAATTTCTGTTGCTAGGGAACAGCTCTGTGGACACATTGTTTCCCCAGCAGCAAGTGAACATGCAATAATGGAAGAGGTGTATTCTGTGTGGTCTGTGCCAGGGTTAAGTAACATGTAACAGGAGTATGGGTTGAGTCGGTTGAGAGTTGCAGTTGTGAGATGTGAGAAGCTGGTAGCTGAGGCCTGGGGCAGTTTGGGAACCCAGAGGAAGGAGAATGCCAGCCATTGCAAGCCACTACCCAGCAGCAGCTAATTAAGACTGAGAAGACTTTATGTGTGCTGCAGTTACAGTGATCTTTGGAGTGTGTGACTCAGTGAGACTGTTGCAGCTATTTGTAGTTATGAGCGCAAGCGTTCACTACGTCCAGTTACCAATCAAAACCCCACCTGTAATCACACAATCATGACAGTATAATTTACTAGGTACTGCATTGTTGAAGATGTTTTTATTGCAGACAAATGTGTCTGAATGTGGTCCATCGTCTCGGCCAGATGACCCACCCCTCCTTCCTGGGGAGAAAGTTCAAGGGGTGGCACGAGAAGTCACATACCTTTGCCCATACAGTGGTCCTGCCAGGGGTGTACTGTCAGTAACGAACTACAAGCTTCATTTTCGGAGCATGGACAGGGATACCCCAAATGTTCTTGATGTACCGCTTGGTGTGGTAAGTAATACCTCTTATGGTGAATGAGCTGTTACACATATTCTTTGAAATTTTAAGGTTCTTGGGTTTGAGCAGGATAAGATAAGGGTTTTTCTGGACAGATTTAATACTTTACATTTGCAAAAATGTTAACATGAGGCTTGCAGCTGGGTTCAGAGCCTTCAGAAAGTTGGTTGTTTACACCTGAATTATCTGCTTGTGTCATGTATATGATTTGGTCTTGCAATCACAACCAAAAGTAACTGCGTCTCATCTGGGATTATGTATAATCCAGCAGTGCTGAATTTTCAATAATAAAGAGTGGTGAAATGTACAAGGGTTGGATAAAAAGAAGTGGCAGCACTGCTGTAACCTGAAAGAGGTGCGTCAGGTGGCACTAGTGCTGTCTGTAGCTGATAGCAGAAGTTCAGTTGAAGTAGTGCAGTGAGTGGCTCTGTTCATGTTTCATTGAGTTGCATTGTGCATCGTCTTGAAGTGCAGGAGCCCAGTTCAGGCACCCTAACAACATGTTTACGAAACAAGAACAACACTCCTGGATAAAAATTGAAGTTGCACAAGGTCGTAGTGCACAGAACTGTTATCAAGGACTACGAGAAGCATGTGGTGATGCTGCTTTGCCATATCGCACAGTGGCACAATGGGTGAAATTGTTCCATGAAGGGAGGGATGCCATTCAGGACAGCCATCGTTCAGGATGACCCCATGTTGACAACCACAGAATTCAGCTTCTTCTTTGCTGGATGTCGATCGTTCATGGGCTGCACAGGAGTTAGCTACTGAGGTAGGCGTATGTCACAAACCCGTGCTCCACATTCTGCACAATATTCTTGGATACTGCAAAATTGCAGTGCATTGGGTACCCATACAATGTCTGAGGTGCAACAATGGCAACATTATGCACTTGCACAGGACTTGTTGGACCGGTACCAGAGGGAAGGTGACGACTTTCTTGGAAGGATTGTTACTCTGGAAGAAACTTGGGCTCGCTCATACGAGCCACACTTGAAGAGACAGTCAAATGAATGGAAGCATCCTGGCTCTCCTCCTCCAAAGAAAATGCTCCCTACACAGAGTAATGTGAAGGCAATGTTCATTGTGGTATATGACATTAATTGAGTGATCTGCACTGCACTGTACCTCAATGACAGACAGTAAACGCTGCCTACTACTGAAATTTCCTGTGTAATCATCTTCGTCCAGCACTCAGGAGAAAGCGACAACATTTGTTGGCAAGGAACCCCATCATCCTGCATGACAATGCAAGAGCTCATACTGCTCACGCTGTCAAGGATCTCCTTCACTACTGGCAATGGTAGATACTGCAACATCCGCCATACTCACCCGATGTGAGTCCATGCAGTTATGGTCTCTTTACCAAAATGAAAGGACCAATGCGAGAGACATGTTACACCACAAGAGAGGAGATTATTTGTGCTGTAGGACGGTCACTGCTGGACATCAACAAAAGTGGACGTGCTGATGGTGTACGACGCCTTCCACAAATTTGGCAGAAGGTGGTACACATGGGGGGGCGATTATATTGAAGGAATGTAAGTGTGTTTACCTCAGGTAATAAAGTCATTTCAGAACTATAGAGGTGTTGCCACTACTTTTTATCCGACTTATGTATTTTTCTGTATACCTACAGGTTATCTTTTTTCAAAGATGTCCTGTTGGGAAGACAAAAGTGTTGTGAAATGTGTTGATTTCTATTTTTATTTTGAAGATTTTTTTAGAATCACAGTTCCTTACAAAGCAAAATATACATCACAGCGACTCTTTCCTTCAGAACTTCCATCCACGAAACTAAAATCATCAAATGTCCATTATTCTGCATTGCTGTCAACACTAATTCTAGATTATGTTTGTTAACCAGCTCTCTTATTTGGGCATCCTACAACAAGGAATCCTGGTGGCTTACCACCATACAACAAACTAATGCCCAGACTTTCAGGACAGACACAGGCCTCAAACCAACAAACCAGCAAAGCCATACGGCAAAAACGTTCATTGCAGTTGTTCAAGGATGCCCAAATAAAGCAGTTTGTTAACCCACATAACCTATAATCCAGTGTAGCTATATAAGAAAAGCAGAAAAGCTTCACAGTGAGTGACAGATTCCTTCATCACAGCTGATGATGGCCAGTTAGGCTGAAATATGTAGTGACAATGAAGAGAAGACGAGAGAACAATAACCAACATTGAACATAGATGGCAAGAAAGCAGAATGCAAAGTCAGTTCTATGCAGTGCAACAGGATGCTGCAATTTAATATTATGTAGTGGGTAGGTAGGTACCAGCATGTTGGAGGAACTTTCTGCCATCTTCAGGGTAGAAGTGTAAACCAAGAATGGCAAGGATTGGTATAGATGTGGGGAGGAGAAGATTTGGATGAGGGCCCTGGACAGACTGGTTGGCTTGGCTTATCCTGCTGTCCTGAAGATGGAGGAAACAGGTTCACTGAACATCAAAGGTGGAAAAATGGTAACCTTCATGACAACTGCTGTGAGAACCTCTGGTCTCATAAAAGTTCTGTTTTCATCTGTGTATTTTTCAGAATAACAGGTGTCTGTATGATGTGTCGCAGAGTGTGGAATCTACATGACTGGATTTCATTTCAGGTTAGTCGAATTGAGAAAGTTGGTGGAGCGTCAAGTAGGGGTGAAAACTCATACGGTATAGAAGTTTTCTGCAAGGATATGCGCAACCTGAGGTTTGCACATAAGCAGGTATGAATTTTATAAATTACATTGGGGTTTATTTTAATTTATTGTTACATGCAGGAAGGTATGCATGACTAATAATTGTGAATTCTAGATTTGATGATTAGGTTTATTTGACGTCAGTATCACAATTGCACTCAATTATAACAGTTCACACATTTTCTGTGTTCTCTTCTGAACACTTCACTTCATTTCTGAACTCTTTGCTTCCATTCTGAAATCTGAACCTCACTTCTAAACTATGAACTGACAGCCTTTCAGCTGCTCTTTCTTTATACCTGCTAGGTGGCTGGGATAGGAATCACCAGCTTGAAGAATTCCATTTGTTATATCCATGGTAACAGCCTGATTAGAATGTTGTTACCGTGGACGTATCTTTCTTTAACCTTTAACGGCCGAATGTCACATATATATGATGGAAGCAGCAACCCGAGTTGGCCGAATGACATATATGACGCAGGGTACGTGCTCTCTTTGGGAGTGCTGACAGTTTGACCTTGGGTTTGAAACCAAAACAAACCTACGTGAGGTCATGTCAGTGGTTCATTCCTTAGCTCTGAACAAAGAAATCGTTTATCACGGTACTGGTTTCTATACTATTTACGTTTAGATATGACTGTTTATGACCTGGTCAGCCAAATATAGCCCAGCTTTGTTTCGAGAACTGATGAGGAAATATTCTTCTGTGCTAGCATGTGGGTGCTTCCAGAGCCTTCAAGGAAGTGTGACGCATGCAGGGATTGGTTTTCAGTGACGAATTATCAGTTAGGAAGTCAGTGTCGGATTTTCTTTATCAGTTAGAAAGTCAGTGTCAGACTGTCATATATTTCTTTATATATCATTTTTATTTTGCGTCTTGGAAGAGGTATAAACCCACTGAGCCAGTATTACTTTGTGAGTAAAAGACATCTTCGCCACTGCGACTTTCAGTATGTGTCGGAGTGGCACTCTTTTCGACTAGTATTATAATTACTTTGCATCACTATTTTGCGAGTATTACCAACAGGTGAGAGTGTCACTTTGTCAGTCAACATAATTTATTCGATTTTGCCAGAAACCCCCCTCCTCCAAGATAATCCTTTAATCGCACAAGCCGAATATCACAGTCAGTGGCGTTTCTTGGAGGGAAGGCCAAAGTTATAAGGGGGCCCAACCGAATTGACTGGAGGTGAAACATTCACAACACTGGCCAACCAAAAGGAAACAAAGACGTCGTGTTTTTCGCTAAATAAGAAAAGCAGGAGCACGCTCTTCTATTGTAAAAAGGGTGGTGTCGCCCTGTGTGAGGTGGACTGCTTCAAGAAGTTCCACGCGCGTCAGAGTGTATCGTAAACTGTGAAGTGATGCAGTTCCAACTTGTGTACAGTCTGAACAAAATATTATTGTATATAGTGTGACTATATTTACAGTATCACCGTGATTCAAGGTTGAAGAAAAAATAACAGGTAAGTCCTTTGGAATTTCATAACATATACAATAAAGATTATATTTTGCATTTCATGACAAAATAATCGCAGTTAATTTTCGTTTGTAAAAATTTCACTTTTGAGTAAATTTAGAAAATTTTATTGTCTTTCAGACTGTTTTTAGTTCGTATTTGTATGTTGCATAGAACGGAAAATATTGTGACATGTTGACCCCTACCTCCCCAGTGGAACGTAGCGGTAAAGTAGCGCTCGCGTAATAGGTGAATCATCACCCTCCCACTCTCCCCGCGGTGACGTCACGAGCGGAGCCGAAGATAGCCGAGCCCCCGCATCCTGGTAGCTATGCAACGCGCCACGCGCGGTGACGTCACGGTAACGCGGAACCGCTTCCACTGTGACGTGGCCCGCAACAGGCACCACTGCGAATATATAAGGGAACCGCACAGCAGCTACCAGTCAGTTGTATTGTGACAGCCGCCGAGTTGTAAAGTAACAGTTGCCGAGTCAGTTATACCGTGGCCATCGCCGAAGACATTTCCGAGTTGGAACGTAACAGTCGCCGAGTCGACTTGTAATGTGACAGTCGCCGAGTGTGTTAGCAACAGTTCTCCAGTCAGCCGACTACAGTTGGAGTATAGCAGCCGTCGCGGAAAGAAGAACCGGACGTGTGGGTGATTGTGTAATTGGGAGTGTGTGATACAGTGATACATAGCTCCCCTACTGTAAACATGTAGACTACTGAACACGGAGTGAACAGATTTGCGCATAGGGTTATAAATCGTGAAACCCCGCAACAGTGTTAACAGATTAATGCGATTAGGGTTATAAAGTGTGAAATCCTGCAACTGTGCGATAAGTAATTGTAGCCGTTACTTGTAGATTGTTGAATAAACCAATTAACCATCTCTACGGCGTCTTCAGTAACCAGCAACACGTTAAACTGGTGTCAGAAGTGTTACGAACTTAAACACGCCACAAATTGAATTGTTGCGCATCGAATATTTTACTGCTAGAAAATGGAGATGCAGCAAATGATGGAAATGCTTCTCAAGGAAGTCAGAGCTAGTCAAGAAGAGATGAGGGCAAGCCAAATAAAAGCAGATGCCGACCGATTGCGGATGGAAGACAGACTGAGCTGATTTGCGCATAGGGTTATAAAGTGTGAAACCCCGCAACTGTGTGATAAGTAATTGTAGCCGTTATTTGTAGATTGTTAAATAAACCAATTAACCATCTCTACAGCGTCTTCAGTAACCAGCAACACGTTACAGTATGTATTTTTTTTTCTGAAAGTTTGCAGTGTTAATTAATTAGAGCGATTTAAATACTGGCCGCAGAGGGCTCCCAGCAATTTAAAAGTCTGGACGTTAAAGGTTAAATGAACATTTGAGACTTATATAGAGGAATGAATGAATTTAAGAGGAGTTCCAAACTTATAACTAACGTGATGAAGGTTGAGAATGGTGATCTGCTTAGAGATTCCCACAGCATTTGAATAGGTGGAAGAACAACTTCTCTCAACAGTTGAATATACATAAGGTCAGTGACATTAAGCAGGTGGACATAGAATTTTGCTATTAGTCCCTGAGCCTTGTGTTTTTGAGGTTGAAATTGCAGAATTGAAAGGTATAAATCACTGGGTAGTGATCTGACAGATCTGATTCAAGCAGGAGATGAAATATTACAGTTTGATATCTATAAACTCATTAATCCTATTTGAAGTAAGGAAGATTGCCTAATCAGTGAAAGGAGTCTGTTGTCTATTGTTGACCTGTTGGGTCGAAATCCTGATTGATATTCCCCTATTATTTTTTCTATATATGGATCCAGTCTCTTTTTTAGTATCCTTGTTAAAATTTTATATGCTGTCGGTAGTAATGATATACCTCTATAGTTACTACATGTTAATTTATCCCCGTTTTTAAATATGGGACATATAATGCGCTTTCCCCAATCTTCTGGTATCTTTTCTTCTTCCCACACTTTGTTTATATTTCTGTGGAGTACTGCTATTCCTTCTTGTCCTCCTGCCTTCAATACTTCTGCTGGTATGTTATCTCCTCCTGGTGCTTTATTTAGTTTTTGTTCCCTTAATGCTTCTACCACTTCTTCCTTTGTTGGAGGCTCTATTATCTCTTCCTCTTCCCCTTCTCCATCTTCTTCATTGTCCTCATTATCTTCCATATTCTGATTTTGATTTAATAATAGTTCAAAATATTCTTTCCATATATTCATTATCTCTGTTTTATTATTTATTAGAAGCCCTTTTTTGTCTCAGATAAATTCTGTTTTTGGTTTGAAACCTTCTTTCATATATTTGATTTGAACAAAGGCATTTTTTGTTTTGTTATTTTTTAAGTCTTCTTCCAGGTGCAGTAATTGCTCATTTAGAAAGGCCTGTTTCTTTTTCCTGCAAATCTTGTCTGCTTTCCTTCTTGCTTCTTTATATGCCTCATTCCTTGCTCTTGTTGGTCTTTCCATATATTTCTTATTCTTGAGGTTTATACTCTCCCTACATTCCTCGTCGAACCATTCTTTATTATCCTGTTTCTCTTGATATCCCAGAGTCTTCTCAGCTTCTGTAATTATTGTGGTTTTAAAATCTACCCATATCCCTTCTACCGTTACTTCTTTATTTGCTCTATTGTCATTAATTTCTTTAATTTTATTTTGAAATGCTTCTCTCTTATCACTCTCCGTAATCTTGTCAATATTAAATTTCTTACATTTCTCATACTGCTTAGATCTTTGACAACTTATTTTACATCTATATTTAACCTGTACTAAGTAATGATCACTATCACAGTTGGCCCCTCTTAATGTTCTTACGTCCAGGATATTCGTCGCAAATCGCTTCTCTTTGAGGACATGATCTATTTGATTGAAGGTTACCCCATCTGGTGCTGCCCATTTCTTTTATGTATATTTTTGTGTGGGAAGTATGTAGAGCTGATAATCAAGTTCTTACTTTCTAAGGTTAAGTTCATATGCAGATGAAATTATTGGGGATCATCAGTGTGGGTTTTGACATAACAGATCAATTACTGATAAGATTTTTTTTTTCATTCATCAATTACTGGAAAAGGAGAAGGGGGATGAGACAGTACATCAGCTATTCGTAGATTTCAAGAAAGCCAATGATTCAGTTAGGAAGGAAGTACTGTACAATATTCTCTTTGCATTTTGGTGTACCTATTAAACAAGTTATGCTTAAACAAAATGTACAGTACATTTGTCTTATACATTTCCTGTTCGAAATCATCTTAGAAGAGGAGGTGCCGCAGTGGAATTGCTTTTCAACTTCTTTTTAGAATACACAGTTAGGAAGGTCCAAGAAAATGGTAAACACCAGCATCTGCTCTGTGCTTGTGGTGCAGATCTATTGTGAGCTGCAATCAGTGCTAGTAGAGAGACTGAAATAGAAGCAGACACAGAGAGAACTAAGTGTAAATGTCTCATCACCAGAGTTCAGGGCAAAATGAAGCCATGAAGATAGCTCATATAGATCATTCAAAAATGTGGCAAAGTTCAAGTATTTGGGAAGGACAGCTACAGATGAGGATTTTGTTCATGACAAAATTAACACCAGATTCAGTTTGGCTAATTGTTGCTACCATGTAGTAGAACCTTGCTGTCTAAAAAAGGTAGAAGTTATACAAAACTGTAATTTTGTGTATAATTTTCAATGAGTGTGAAACCTGGTCTCTGATGTTAAGCAAGAACATGGTGCTGAGAATATTTGGGATGAAGAGGGAAGAAATAACAAGAGGCTGAAGAAACTGCATAATGAGGAACTTCATAACTTGTACTCTTCACCATATACAATTAGAATGATGAAGTCAAGGAGCATGAGATGGGCATGATATGTAGCAAGCATGGGGGATAGGAAGAATGCATTCAGTGATTCGTTTGGAAAGCCAGGAGGAAAGACACTGCTAGGAAGACCTAGCTGTGGGTGAAATGATAATATTAAGATGTAGTTTAGAGGAATAGGATGGAGTGGTATGGACTGGATTCATATGGCTCAGGATAGGGACCAGTAGAGGGGTTTTGTGAATATGATAATGAACCTTCAGGTTACATAAAATGTTGGGAAATTCTGGTGGCTTCTCAAGAACAGCTTGGCCCCATGGAGTTCGTAAATTAGTTTGCTTCTCATTCAGACATGTTTAACAGCTCTGACAACCACCTTGAATGAGAGTGGTATATACAAGGATATTGTAAATTAGATTGTACATTCTCAGAACCGAAGTCAACAAGGTAGAGTGTTCAGAAGGTTTTCCCTAAACTAAAAAATTCTTCAATAATAACAAGGCCAGGCATATAAGTTTGGCATAATGGTTGTAATGTTTTCCCTTTATTTTGTTTAAAAAATTATGACTTGCAGAAAAGTGCATTGTAAACTAAATGTGCAACTAAATGACAACTTACGTTATCTGCTGGTAAAATCAGGTACTGTCTGAGTGAAGAGTAGTATTGTCTGTGATGCAATGAATGTAGTCTGGTAGGTCAGAATGCTTTGTGCTAGGGTTACTTTCCCATTGCAAAACCAATTACATGAAACCACACGTATGAAACTAGTTGCATTTGATGCTCACACTGAAGGGGTGACTTGAGTGATCAGCAACCAACACAGAATAAAAGGAAACCTTTCCACTGTTGGTGTGCAGCTGTGCAACTCAAGCTGGCGAGAAACTGCCTCAGCCCTGGTTGCAAGGTTGCTGAAACCAGAGTTTCTGTCGCTCCAGCAGAGGTCTTAATGAAAGAGGGTAGGGAGAGTTTCAAACAAAAATTTTGCATATTGCATACTGTCACATGTTTTAGCGACTGTATGCAGGTTTTGGATTGGTGGATAGATTTATTAATGCCTTATACGATGGGGTACCCAAAAGAAACTGAACTAATTTTTTTGTGGGCAGAGCTCTTGTAGTACCGCGTTTTGCCGCTATGAGTGCATAGAGCTAACATTCCTGAGTCGATAAGCTGACTACCGTTGCTTCAGAAGGTAAGGACTAGTTTCGGCAGAGTTTATAGTGACAAATGTTTTGTGTGATCATCATTTTTGCAATGGCTGATTTTCATGAACAGCGTGCAGCGGTGAAATTCTGCTTTTTGCTCAGGAAAAGTGGAACAGGAACTCTTGAAATGTTAAAAATGGCGTACATGGACGATGCTATGGGGAAAACTCAAGTGTTTGAGTGGTTTTCCCGTTTCAAAAATGGTGAAATGTCAGTTGATGACAAACCTCGTTCTGGTCATCCTTCCATGCCCCGAACACACGAAAGTGTTGAAAAAATTCGTGAAATCATCAAGGAAGATCAACGACAGACCATTGAAGAAATTGTGGAGCTGTCGGGAGTGACTTGGAGCTCAGTTGCCAGATTTGTGGCAGTCGGGTGACTGGTTTTTCCATCATGACAATGCCCCTGCTCACACAGCCCTGTCTGTATGACAATTCTTGACCAAAAATGGTATGACCCCTGTTCCTCACCCTCCATACTCACCTGAACTAGCCCCGTGCGACTTTTTTTTTGTTTCCTTGAATGAAAAGAGACATGAAAGGAAAAAAAGATGGAGGCGCTGTCAAGCATCTCAAAAGATGAATTTAGACAATGTTTTGAAAAATGGAATAAAAGACTAGACAAGTGTATTAGTGTAAGTGGAGAGTACTTTGAAGGGGATTGAAGGTTTGTGCTTAAAATTTGAATAAATAAGTTTAAAAAAAAATAAGTTCGGTTTCTTTTGGGTACCCCCTCGTACAATTAACTCGTACTTGCGAGCAGTACGGTGCTATCCCTTATTTACACAATTTGCAGTTCACCATCACACACACACACACACACACACACACACACACTGATAGTCTGAGTCTTCACTAGCCATATCCTGGTTATGGAAATTAAAACAGTGTCATCATGACTGAATCTTATAATCACACACTAAGTCTTCACAGGCTGACCACTCTTCTTCAGTTACTAACTTCCCATGGCTATCTCATACGAACAGCTGACTCCCTTATATAGACATGACATGTACCATGCAGCAGAGAAAAAACAGCCTTGGCATCGACCTACAGAAAATGCCTCCATCACTTCTAGTGTTGTGTGATGTGACCACACACATGTAAGCTGCTTGCACTGCATAGCAACAGTTGTACAAGTCACGTATCATGACACCTCCTCCATTGTCGCATGTGGGCATCACCTAGCAATGGCTGATGTTTACAGAGTTATCTCCCAGCAACAAGTCTGTTTGCGACAATACCATCATTTTCATGCAGTCAGTCATGCCAGTGGTAGAATGAGCCTTACTCATTGTCCTGAAGATGGAACCTTTTATGTTCCTCCAAAATGCTGGTAAGCTTCTACCAGGCTTCATGCCATCACAAATCCTAGAAGACTGTATCACCACGAGAACCTCAGTGTCAGAAGTGTTGCACTGTGTTGTCAGTGTTTCATGACCTTTTTCTTTTTCCTTCTTTCCAGGAAAATCATTCTCGGAGGAACGTTTTTGAGAAGCTGCAGCAGTATGCTTTTCCTCTGTCCCACAAGTTACCTTTGTTTGCCTTTGAGTACAGCGAGACGTTCCCAGAGAATGGTTGGAGTGTCCACGAACCAGTAGCCGAGCTTAAGAGGATGGTAAACATGTAGCTTTGGATTATATTTATTTTACTCAGTAAATATTTTTATGTGTGTTAATTTCTTTTTTGCAAGCGGAGTATGTGAAGATGAATTTTCAGCTCAATGTAGTCGTTATGGAGAAGTATTATGTTTTCTTTGAGGTAGGAACTGAATTTCTAAATGTTATTTAGATCAGTTTTAGGCTTCAGAAAGTTGAAGCACAGAATTACCTCATATGTTCATTTTTGTGAGAGGTCTGCAAAGTCTGACCTATGAGCTGAGCTGCGTGTAGCCCCTTCTGTGCTTCCCAGGAGCTTGCCCAGATTTTGTGATAGTGAATGCAGGTCTCTCTGTCACAAAGTGGTCATAGGACTGTGAATGCTGATGCCTTCAATGTTGGACATGAAAATAGATATGGTGGCTTTAATAAGAAGGAAAGTGGAATCTCACTGAATTGATTCATCAGAATGAACCTATATTCTTCAAGAACAGGGTATTTAAATCTCACACTAGTGCACAGCTTGTGGCCAGATCGAAACTTGCTAGCAATGGGATTTATATTGTAAACAGTGTGACACCAGTCTTGCTGAACATGCATATGCTAACACAATTGTGTGACAGATGGACAGTAGAGGTTAAGTGTATGTCATTGGAATATTTATCATGGGCATACACATGCAAGAATTCTTCACCAGTAAGACATTTCATAAAATCAGTTTGAATCGCTGTGAATTCCAACAACTTTTGGCAATGTAGTGCATTTCTGTAATGTCTCCTGGCTTAGTAAAAGTGACATACTGAGATATGCTTGATCTGTTGAATGAAACCAAATTGTTTTGTGTGTACATTTTTAATGGGCTAAATTTGAAACTTCCAAATGCAGGAAAGGATGCAGGTTCTGTTTATCATTTGTGAAAATTTTCAAAATTTAAACTCTGGTTGTCCCAAATGAAAAAAAAAGAAATAGTTTTGTGTGTGTTGTGTTGTTAAGGGAATCTTAGGCTTAAGAAAAGCAATTAGTGATGTACATGAACAAAATGATGGATTAGCTAAAGAGTGTCAGGAAAAAATAATTTGGTCACATTTAATACTGTCACATGTGGAGGTGACTGTAGGCGGGGTTTGGATTGGTGACTGGATTTATTGACCACTTATATGCATGACTTGTAAGTACAACTAATTACATTGCCACTGATAATGTCCACAATTCACAGATCATGACAGCGCCTGCTATGTCTTCACCAGCCACTCCCAGGAATCGGTTTCTAACAGTGGAGATTTTTCAGCTTCACTCTCTCACAGCATTCCCAGCTGACCATCACACAACTGAACCTGGTCTAATCTTGGCCCTTGCTTATAACATCTTGGCATGGACCACATAGAAAACAGCAGTTCCATTGTTGTAGTCCAATGTTGCATTATTAAGAATCTACTGCCTAGCAACAGGAACATGTTTACCAAGTCGCGCAGAAGCGGCTCTGGTATATCCATCCATCTCGCAGTCATTGGATAGCAGTAGTTGTACACATTACAATACATTTTGAAGCAGCAAATGTTCCGTCTTCATTCAGCATTTGGCAGGACTCCTTAGATATTCCAAATGTAACAAGTTCACTTTCAGTGAAAAAATATCTTGACAGGGAAGTGCAGTGTTTTTATGAAAACTCAATTCTGTAAATCTTATCCTACAAAGAATACTCAGTGTTTATCCATCATGCTTGTAAGATGACTGTGTACTTCTGCAATTGGCTCTTTACAAAAGTGAGTACTTGCCCTTTCTGTTCCCATATCTAGTATGGAAGCAGATGTTCTCTCATTACAAATTACAGAACACATCTGTCCCTTCTACCCAAACATGAAGCAGTGAATAATATTCCCGCACTGACTAGAGAACTGTGTATTTTTTTAGTGAATATAACTTGCAAAGGCTCAGCGCATACAACTGGACACAATTGGACCAGGAACATATACAGAAGAACTCATCCAATCACAGTAGCCACGCAATCTAATGCATGAATGGTCTTCACCCACTCAGACACTGGGATCATGGGTTTGAATCCCACTCAAGGCATGGATATCTGTGTGTGTCTATTCTGTAAAAAATTGTAATTCAACCCTGATGTGTTGCAACATTTGTTACAAGGCTTGATTGGCTTGATTACATAAAGACTTGGTGTTAATACAGAAACATGTTTCATTACAGGGTGTTCCAAATGACATGTGGAAGATTTCAAAAATTAATGAGAATTACGAGATCTGTGACAGCTACCCAACTGTGTTGGCAGTTCCAGCTCAGGCCACAGATGATGACCTTAGAGCTGTTGCAGCCTTTAGGAGTCGAGGTCGCATCCCTGTATTATCATGGATCCATCCAGAGAGTCAAGCCACCATCACCCGCTGCTCTCAACCGTTGGTGGGCGTCAGTGGCAAGCGTAGCAGAGAGGATGAGAGATACATTCAACTCATCATGGACGCTAATGCTCAGTCACACAAGATGTTTATCATGGATGCAAGGCCAAGGCAAGACTGTGTTAACAGGTGGAAATTTTGTAACGATATCTTAAGGATTTGGAGGTTTGAGCTTCTTAGGGTACTGAATATTAAAATTCCAGTCTTCTTAGATATGACATCACATAATCTGATAGGTGATTATCCACATTTTTTGAGGAACCTGTTGCCTGCATCTTCTGAAATGTCACTAACAGGCCATCAAACTCTATAGCATCATATCATAGATCACCGTAGTCACTGCCATAAGAACTGCAAGTCTCACATGTATCATATTTTAGTTCTACATATTTTTAAAGTTGTGTTCTTTGTTGCAAAAACAAGAGTAATGTAGTTCTCGTTCTTTCTGCAGTGCAAATGCAATAGCAAATAAAGCCAAAGGAGGTGGCTATGAGTCCGAGGATGCATATCAAAATGCTGAACTTGTGTTCCTGGATATTCACAATATTCACGTTATGAGGGAAAGTCTCAGGAAATTGAAGGGTCAGTATCTTATTGTTTTGTATGTCTTTCAAGTGGTTTGTAGAAGCTCTCCCTGTAACATGCCATGGAGGTCCATAGGGTTGTGAGAGGTCAAGGCTCCCACTTTTGCTAGACAGTTGGCTCACAGATGGCAGTAAGGTCAGCCTTACATGCCCGCTGCCCTTTACCCCCAAGGAAGATTCCTGGTACTCATTTCTGTTAGAGGCTGAGTCGACCCCAGGGTCATAGTGCAGATGGAAGGATTAGGTCAATTGAAAGAGTCTAAATGACCTCATTGGGACTTAAACCTGTGACCTTGTGACCTGTAGCATAGTGCCTCAACCAACTACGCTACTACATGAAGTAGTTTGTAATGGAATTAAGTAAACACTACACCAGAATAAGTGAATAATGCTTCCATATGTAAGGTTCCAACATGGGTAAACCTCCATATATGTGATTAATCCATGCAATGAGCATACTTTATATCTTTGTCAGTAGACTTAATTTTGGCTTTTAAAATACATTTTATCTGTGTACGTAGATAGAAATGCTAGGAATAATGAAACGCAAGTAAGCCAAAGAATATTTGTTAAAGAAATGAGATACAAAACAAGTGAAAAATTGATATGCTGCTTTCTAGAAAGAAAAAATGATTGTCAAGCATCATTTGAAGAGATGTGGCCTTCTTTTTTCTTTTCATACAACTTACGATAGCAGCTAATTTCCCTTTCTGGGGTTCGGAAAACTGGCACATGTCTTTCTACATTCAGATCTAAATCCATAATTTGTTGTTTCACAGTTTCTAAATTTGGAAACATCTGCTTGAGTTCCTGTATCAAAATTTCCTTTGAGACTCACCCATCTCCTTCAGATGCAGTTTCTTTTGTCTTGTCAGAGTTGTGCCGTTGCTCCAGTTCTGTAAGGTCCATATCAGTGAGTGACTGTGAATGCAAATCCAGGCGTTCTCTGACATTGAACAAATCAACATCTTTTCCAGTGATGCTAATATCACTTTTCCTTTTGGACATGGTGAACTTTTACAAGGTATTTTTGCTTAGCGTGAAATACAGTAATGGGAAGACACTGCTTTGTCATGGCTGCCTTGGGCACTTGCGTAAGCGAACCTGAGCTTATGGGCTGCATGATGGCACGACAAAAGCATAATCTGGCAACACTGCTTACAGGTGACAGTTTTCAGGCGATTTTTTTTGCTTTGTTAAAAGAAATTATTTCATTGTCGGCTACACTATTCAAAATTTTAGGGGGCACATGCAGAGGAATGGTATGCTTGTAAATGTTTGTAACTGTATTAACGGAAATTCAGTTTGACAGAAAATGCATATGTGGACGTTCACCTGTATACATGATCAAAGATTGTTATCTTCTCGGATCTCACACAATGTAGGCTTAAAGACCATCACCAATGTTTTGGAGGAACGTGATGTCTCCATTTTATGGCTGGAGATTATGCCAAGTATGAAAAACCGTGGTGCAGAGAGAGAGGTGTTCAAGGATAGGGTGCTGAGTGAAGCAGTAGGAGTATAAAGAATATTGGAAAGTATTGTAGCATGTAGAGACCCGTTGCTAGGTAACAGCCATGAAGCAAATAACAAAACAATACCCTCTGCTAAGCAACAGATTTTTAGTAAGCAGCAACTGAACTGAAATAGAGAAACGCTGTTTTCTGTGCAGTCTGTGCTGAGATGTTATAAGCAGGACAGCTGGAGCAGTGAGTCAGTAGTAGGATATTCACCAGACAGTATCAATGTGATCACAGAAGCTGAAAGATCTCCATTGTTAAGATCATTACCAGGAAATGGCTAATGGAGGCAGGCTGAAAAGACTTAGCATTTGCTGTAGTGATTTGCAAAGTGCGGAAATTAGCAATGGCACTCAAATTGTTCTTTAGATGTGAGGCTTCGTCTTGAACCCAGCACTTGGCTGGTTTATTTTCACTTACCAATTTCATGAAATACTATAATTGAAAAGCTAACAGCTCAGCTAGTACCGAAGTTCCTAGCATTTTATTGCATCACAAGGTTTCTTACTGTGTTCACAAGATCATTCAATTCTTCCCTATCCCATGTCCCGCGAATCCAGCCCATACACTCCTGTCCTCTTTCTTCAAGATCTCCTTATCCACACAGTATATATCCTCTCATCTGTAACTTGGTCTTCAGGTTGTCCTCTTTCCTTCAGGTCTTCCCACCAAAACTTTGTATGCATTTCATTTCTCTCCCATGTATGTTGTATGCCTCACCCATCTTCTTGACCTGACCATCCTAATAAGCCAAAGAATCCTTTTAGCACAGTGGCCCTGTATAACACTTTGTAATATGCCGAATTTGTACGGTGAGGAGTTATTCCTCTTCCCAGTCCCCAACCTGGAGGACCGTTCCTTGTTGGCTGCCTGTGACTGCTTAGTCATTGTATGCACTGTGTGCAAGTCATTCTTGACTTGAGGATGCACCGTGTCATTATTACAAAGGGCTCACTACCCTGTAGGTTTTGTCAGTATGAGAGATACAGAAGTGAACGTAAAAACCAGTCTTATGGAGTATAAACAGTCCAGACAGTTATAACATTTTTTCTCCTGTACTCGAAGTTAAATGTTTCAGTTAATGTAATTTTAAAATATACCAAAATAACATTTCAAGGTTTATGATCTAAAATGCTTGTATTGATTCTTTCAGAATTGTGCTTTCCAAACATAGAAGAGTCACGGTGGCTTACCGGAGTTGAATCCACCTATTGGCTGAAGCACATCAAGTGCATTTTGGCTGGAGCGGTCCGGATTGTAGATAAAGTGGAGAATCACAAAACGTCTGTTTTGGTGCACTGTTCAGACGGTTGGGACCGCACAGCTCAGGTGCGTCATATCGCCACACCCGTAGCTGTCCTGACATCAGTTATGAGGCAAAGGTTGATGTAGCTACAGTGTAAGAGGAGCGCTTGTTTATTTGTCTGTGTTTCAGTCTAAATGAACCCTCTTATGTAAGATCTTTGGGGGGGGGGAATTTAAATAGAAAATTTTATAATCAAGATTATGGAAATTGAATGTTAAATAATGGAAAACCCTTAAATTAAGGAAAACGAAATGGGCGTTCCACTGTAATTTGCAGCAGAAGGGAGAGGATTATAAGAAGTACTACACTGCAGTCCCCTGAATACCTAAATGTAATGTACTATATACTAGGAATAAAGAAAATGTTTTATTTACCCTAACACAAATTTCAGTGTTTCAGATTTATTCTGATAGGAAACTGTCATTGTAGCAAGGGTAACTCATTCAACATGGTGAATGCACTGAATGACTGAGGAATTGAGGTTTGATTCTTGATATGAGCAAGACATTTTTCTCTCCTTTCTAGAACCCAGACTGGTTAAGGGGCCCACTGAGCCCCCTGTACAGTGAGTATTGGGGTGCTGTTTCTCATTTCTTGCACTTCCCACTGTAGTGAGGAAAGGCAGAGAGTAAAACCTGCATGGATCAGGCTGTTCTGTTGATATACAAGGTGGTTCAAATATGACCAGGACTGATTTGTGCGTAAACAAGCCGCACTGCGCAGCAGCTGTGCGACCTTGAGAGAGGGTGAAGCCACAACCTCCACCCTCCCTCCTGTTTGAGTTAGAACCTGTTGAGTCCTGTCTGGGAGTTGCTAAAATGATGAGTGAAGAGAAGGTACCGCGGAGCATGGAACAACGCATTGTGATCAAATTCCTCGTTGGAGAAAAAGTCCCATCTGCTGAAATTCACCACAGACTCCAACAACAGTATGGGGAAGAGTGTCTCTCACGGACCTGTGTGTTTGAGTGGTGTAAGTGCTTCAGAGAGGGCAGAGAGCGCGTGGAGAATGAACCGCATGATCGTCGGCCGCGAACATCCGTCACCAAGCCAAACATTGATCGTGCAGATGCACTTATTCATGAGAATAGGCGCATCACTATCAAGGAACTTGGAGCAATGCTGTCCATCAGTATTGGTAGTGTAGAAGACATCATGAAATACCACCTGCACTATCGCAAGGTGAATGCATGGTGGGTACCACACACTTTGACGGACGTGAACAACATGGTGCGCATGCAAGTTGCCAGTCGTCTCCTATAGCAGTTTGAAGATGAAGGTGATGCATTTTTGAAGTCTATAGTGACCACCGATGAAACGTGGGTGCACTACTTCATTCCTGAGTCCCAGCAGTCATCACACGAGTGGCGGCATACCAGTTCTCCCAAACCCAAGAAAGCACGGAGGAGCCGTTCAGCAGGAAAAGTGAAGGCAACGTTCTTCTGGGACTGGCAGGGGCTTATCCATGTAGACTTTCTGACAGATGCAAGAACAGTCAATGCAGCTTATTACTCAGACCTCCTGGCAACAGACGTGAAGGAAAAGATCCGATCCAAGCGGAAAAGAGGTGGAAAGCGGGTAACCTTCGTTCAAGACAATGCACGCCACCATACAGCCAAAACAACAATGGAAACTCTCCAGAAATTGAAATTGAACCTTCTGACACATCCACCATACAGTCTCAGTTTGGCCCCAATTGATTTCTACCTGTTTGGAAGGCTCAAATCAGACTTGCAAGGCATGCGGTTTGTGGACAATGATGCCGTAATCCAGACTGTTCGGGAGTGGATATGCCGCCAACCACGAGCATTTTTTTAAAATGGCATCAGGATGCTTCCAGAACGGAAAAAATATGTTGGCTCCGGAGGGGAGTACGTTGAAGACTGACATGTGCAAGTAAGTGTTTGGCAATTATGGTTTTTAAAAAAAAATTAGTCCCGGTCATATTTCAACCACCTTGTATAAGATCTCCCTCATAACAAAGTAAAACCAAATATTGTGGTACCCCCACATCATATTGTGACATGATGCCTGAAAGCCAGAGTAGACGTTCATTGCTAGGCGATGACTTGGTGAACAGGTTCCCACAGCAATGAATAAGCAAGCAACAGTCAAGGTATTGTCGAGCTGTGATGATGGAAACAGTGGTTTCTGTTGGATCTGCCCCAAGGCCACATAACAGACCCCAGGCAAGCTGAATTGATAACTGAGGGAGTCTCTTGAGACTGCAGTCGAAAATGGTTGAGAAGAGGCGGCAGTGAATTAGTTGGAAGTTAGCATGTGATTTGAAGTTACAGTGAGACTGTTGTAAATTCATTACCAGGAAACGACTCGTGAAGATCGAGAAGACTATGCATGTCCTAATGATGTGTCATGTGGAAATCAGCAGAAGTGTTATAGTTACTTGTAGTTCCGAGTTGTGTGTATAAGTGGTCAGTAAATCCAGTCATCCAATCTAAAATCTGTCCAAGTCATTGTTACACGTGACAGTACTTGTAAGGTCCTGGTTTCAAATTACTGCTGAGATACTGACTTCTGAATGAGGTTTCTCATGATTTTCTTCAATCCTTCCAGACAAATTCCAGAATAGTACCTGAAATTAGGCTACTACTGTTTCATTCCAAATCCTTACCAATTCATTGTTCCCTTTCTTAAATTTTTGTGGCATATATTGAATGCACAGTTTCGGTTTTCAGGGTTTAGGTGCATCATATATTAAGGCCATTCCAGTATTTTGGTGTATATTGCTGTCATGATCCTTACTTGCCGGAAGGAGGACGCAGCAACATGGCCACATGTGTATTTGTGCAAGGACATTTGTGCACATGGTGCATGCTGCAGTTGAAGAAAATGTGGCAATGTGGATTGTGGTAATAGCCAATAGAAAGGGGCCATATGGTCAAGAAGAGAGCTTGGACAGAAAGAAATGAGACTAGACTTTGATTAGTTTATGCCCATCTTCATGCCTGAAGATAAGTTGTGGGGGGTGTATGATTATTTTAATGGCTTCCCTGATGTTTGCTAGTGCTTCTATTTAGTCAGATTCTCTGCCATGACTGTACTGCCAAGCTTCTGAAGAAAGAAACAGGGTCCTCATCATGCAGAAACAGTTAAGATCATGACCTGTCTCAGACTGATCAAGGACAAGGGAAAGCAACTCCTGACATAAGAATCCAGTGTGTGTGAGGTTTGCTGCATAACCAGCTGTGTTGGAACACATCAAAGAGTGCAGATGAACTTTTCCACCGAGACCTCAAGCATGGCATAGCAGCTTGCAGAATCAAGTCCAGACTAGGCTGTCTTGCATCATCTGAGAAGCCATTGAGAAAGTCAGACAAGTGAAGAAGGACTGGTCTCATATCTTCCCTCTAAACCACAAGGCCCCTTTCTATGGGGTTGCATCAGGTTCCATGCTTACGCTCTTGCTACAGCTGTGACACATATATGGTAAAACTTTGTTAATTCAGGTCACTTATGAATTTAAAGTAAATGAAATTCCCCAGCTTAAATTGTGTTTCTGGACAGGGATTACCCCTATTGATTGGGCCGAAGTGAGTAGGTTCTGCCTGAAGAAGGAGACAGAATCCAGTCTCTGAAACATGGTGTTTTAAGTAAAAACAGGGTGATGGGTATAATGTCCAGAAACAAAATAGTTGTACCCTATAAGTAATTAAATAAATAAATGAGGGTTAAAGTGGATATTCTGTCAGCTAAATTAAAAAAATAACATTACTTACAACATGGATTTCAACTACTCATCTAACAGGTAAAAGTCTTCATTAAAGAAATTGTGTAATTCAAATGGCGTGATTGAAAGTCTGATTTTTCGGTCCAAAGCACTTCAAATTAATGAGGTTTTACTGTATATCAGGATATGGCCCCATCAGATATTACTGTGCTTCTTGTCCCATGGCTTCTGCCTGTTGCGAGACCACATCCTCTTTTGTCCTCATTTTTCATGAACATGGTGACCACTATGTCTGCTGAAATACTGGAACCTCAGCATACAACATCTCTAGACCCTGAAAGCCAAAATTACTCATTATTTACAAATCCTTGTATATGGTGCGTTCAAGTTTTAAGGTCTCTTGATTTTTTTTCTCACACAATCATACAAAAAATGTGAAACTTCTGTCACTTTTCAACGTAATCTCCCTGCAGCCATACACATTTTTCACAACGTCGATGCCATGATTCCATGGCCGCTGCGAACGCTTCTGTAGGAGTCTGTTTTGACCACTGCAAAATCGCTGATGCAATAACAGCACAACTGGTGAATGTGCGACCACAGAGAGCGTTTTTCATCGTTGGGAAAAGACAAAAATCACTAGGAGCCAGGTCAGGTGAGTAGGGAGCATGAGAAACCACTTCAAGGTTGTTTACACGAAGAAACTGCTGTGTCGCATATGCCCAATGTGCTGGTGTATTGTCCTGGTGAAAAAGCACACATGCAGCCTTTTCTGACCTCTTTTCTCGCATTGCTGGAAGGAGCTTGTTCTTCAAAACATCTTGGTAGGCTGCACCTGTCACCGTAGTGCCCTTTGGAATGCACTGAGTAAGGATTATGCCATCGCTGTCCCAAAACATGGCCACCATCATTTTTTCAGCACTGGCGCTTACCCGAAATTTTTTGGTGGCGGTGAGTCTGTGTGCTTCCATTCAGCTGACTGGTGCTTCGTTTCAGGATTGAAAAATGGCATCCATGTCTCATCTATTGTCACAATTGATGAAAAGAAAGTCCCATTCATGCCTTCATCACGTGTCAACATCGCCTGGCAAATTGCCATGCGCACAGCCTTGTGGTCGTCCTCCAACATTCGTGGCACCCACCTGGTGGACACTTTCCGCATTCGCAGGTCTTCATGCAGGATTGTATGCACAGATCCCACAGAAATGCCAACTTTGTAGGCGATGTTTTCCACACTCAATCAGTGATCCTCCAAAAGAACTTTGTCAACTCGCTCGACCATGTTGTCAGACCGGCTGGTGCGAGGCCGAGATTGTTTTGGTTCGTTGTCACACGATGTTCGGCCTTCTTTAAACTGTCGCACCCACAAACACATTTTTCACATTCATGACACCATCACCACACGTCTCACTCAACTGGCAATGAATCTCAATGGGTGTCGCACCACACAAGTGGAGAAAATGAATGATTACTTGCTGTTCTTGTAACGAAAACATCACCATTTTAGGTATCAAAAACACTCCTCACCCTCACCGCCACCACTAGAGTTCTGTGTGCTGTACAGTGCTGCCATCTCTGTCATGCATTCACAAAGAGTGCACACGTATTTTAAACTAAACCACGTGTCTGTCTGCTCCCAGCCCTGAGAAAAAAATTGGAGACTTTAGAACTTGAACGCCCCTCATATCATCTAATACTATATAATCTGACCTCCTGACAGCATTATTAAATAAACCATAAGTAAATGTACAAAGTAAAAGTAGTTTGGTAACCTGAACTTTAAATTTTTACCATTGTCACTTCAAGCAAAACAAGAAAACTGCTTTGTTAAAGCTCTGTTTACAGCATACAAAATACAAGTAAAATTGTATGTGTTTTTTTTCTGTATATATTTTACCTTTATTTAAAGCAGTATCTTCTGCTACAGCTCACAGCCTTGGCAATGCTGATGCTAGATCCATATTACCGCACAATAAAAGGCTTTGAGGTTCTCATTGAGAAGGAATGGCTTAGCTTTGGACACAAATTTCAGCAGGTAAGCAGTGTGACTCTTCTTTGTTGGTGCATATCAACATTTGAAATATGTTCCTAGTATAATGAGTTTTATTTCAATTTGTAGCGAGTTGGGCATGGCGATGATCACCATTCTGATGCAGACAGGTCGCCAGTATTTCTTCAGTTCATTGACTGTGTTTATCAAATTACAACACAGTTTCCCAATGCCTTTGAATTCAACGATCACTTCCTGATTACCATATTGGACCATCTGTATTCCTGTCGTTTTGGAACGTTCTTGTTTAACAGGTAACATGTCATTAAAGTTCACTTGAAGTTCCTTTGGTTTTGGAGAAATAATATAGCTTTGGTTGAATAGTTTTTAAGGGGTTTATTTTGTTCATGGAGAATTACCAAATATATTACTGTCTTCTGGGACAGGGTGCCACATATTCTGGTAGATCATTACAAACGTTTTAGAGGAACGTACTGTTTCCATCTTCATTATATCCCTATACCCATAAAGATCAAAGCAGCAGGTTGCTCTGAAATTAACAGTTTACCAGATTATGCAGCATCACATACTAGAAGAAAGAAAATTTCAGAGATACCATCATGAGAATTACCAAAATTTCTTCTGTATTGGCCTCCCCCTAACACTGTAATGGTGAATTGTTCAATTTTAATCTCTGATTCTGTAAGAGTGTTTTTTTCTTCTCATCTGCTGTCTAAAAATGTAAGAATTAGAAAATACAAAACCATAATTTTGCCCATGGTTTTGTGTCAGTGTGAAACTTGGCCTCTGACAAGAAGGGAGGAACATATTCTGAGGATGTTGAGGAGAATATTTGGACTGAAGAGAGATGAAGTGACAGGAGGTTGGAGAAAACTGCATAATGAGGAGCTTCATAACTTGTACTGTTCTCCAAGTATAAATAGAGTGATAAGTCAAGGAGGATTAGATGGGCATAGCATGTAGCATGAATGGGGGAGAGGAGGAATATATATAGGGTATAGGTGGGAAAGCCAGAAAGAGAGAGACCACTAGGAAGACCTAGACATGGTGGGAGAATAACATTAACACTTTGCGGACTGCGCGCCCTTTAAAAGGTTTTTTGCTTTTAAACATGGCGGACCATTCGCATATTAACAGGTTTTTAAAACACGATAAGTTGCAACACTATGCATCTCTCTGGCTCCACCTAGCTAGCACGCAGCTGCGTTATAAGGCTCTGGAATGTCTGCTGACCAATCAGTTACTAGACCTCACTGTAACTCTGTGTCCCTGCAAAGGAAAATAAATGCCTTTATTTCTTCAAGCTGTACATAGCAAGCTGTCAGTCAGTAGTTCAATATGGATCAAAGACCAAAGCGGTTGACACCCAAGCGATTTCTTGGAGAACAAGAAATATCTGACTTCTCCGATGAGCTATCTGACGTCCCTTGTGAGTCTGCTAGTGATAGCGACTCACAATCTGATAGTGAGTGTGGCAGGGGCGAACAAAAAATTGTGACCACAGACAGTGAAAGTGAAAGTGACCGTAGCTCCGACGAATGTGTGGGTAGCAACATTGCAGGGACAGCCACATGGGGAAAAGTAGACAAAACGCCTGGACAGTTTACTGGTGATCCAGGGGTGAAACAAATGCCATCGGACCCTACGCAAGTGTCTGAAGTAGCTGAACTGTTTTTTGGAGATAGTTTCTTTGACATGTTGTGTCAGGAGACCAACAGATACTATCTCCAACACCGTGAGGCGTACGACAGTACCTATAAGGTGTTGAAGAGGGTGGATGTCACTTCAGCAGAAATGAAACAAATTTTGGCAATAATCATTCTAATGGGGTTTACAAAGAGGGATAATTTGAAAGACTATTGGTCCACTGATCCATTTTTATAAATTCCCATTTTCGGCAAACTCATGAGTCGTAAGAGATTTGGACAGATATGGTGGTGTTTGCATTTCAATAATAATAACTGCAACCACAATCAACGGGCAGGCTTTTCAAAATTCAGACCTTATTAGACTTTTTCGTTGAGAAATTTCAGACAGTTTATAAGCCAGAGCAGCAACTGTCTTTGGACGAATGTGTGATTCCTTGGAGGGGAAGGCTTCATTTTCGAACGTATAATCCTGGGAAACTCACAAAGTATGGCCTACTTGTTCGTGTAGTCATGGAAAGCACTTCAGGCTATATTGGAAATTTAG